ATATGATTTTTAAAAGTCCATAAAATTGTAAATATATATTTAAAGACTTATTTTTATTTGCTGTATGTGTGCCTGTGTGTGTGTGAAAAAAAGCCAGAAAAAAAAAACTTATGATTCTGGATGAAAAGACACAAACCTCGCCAAATTTTTATTTTTACTTTTTTGTAGTTAAGTACGAATGGTAATTTAATTTCAAAGAAATATTCCAAGTATTTAATTTTAAATAAACTATATTGTATTTCTTTTAATGAAAATAAATTGTAGAGTAACTCATTTAAAAAAAACACAACCAAAAGGTAATCACGTTTATCTTATCAGACAATAAAAGTTTGTACCTTCTAAAATTAAAGCAATCTTAATATAAAATAGGCAAGGATTTTTTATTTTGTATTGGTGCAAAATAAACAGATAAATGAAAAATAAAAGATGATGGAGAAACATCATATTTTGTAGCAAAATTTAGTACATGATTTAGAAGCAACTTCAAAATACTAGAGATATATTGTAATAAATGTAAATATAAAAGTGAAAAAGTTAGAATCATATTTGATATAAATACGAAAATGAATCAAAATAATTTAAGGATAGAATTGTTTTTAAACTTCAAATTAATACGAGAATTTAAAACTTGAAACACTTCTTATTAACACCAAAGCAGGAATTCAGATTGTAAATATGTTTTACTGCATAAAAATCTAATACACTTGTAAAAATAATAAAATAACTTTTAAATGAATAAATACAACAGAACAAATATTTTCAGTATTTATAATAGCTATAGAGTTAATACGCTGATTGCTTAATGTCATAGAATTATATCTATGCATTAATTGATAATGTATTAAAGGAGATATAAAAGAATCAATTATCTAAAGAATATAATAATTGAATCAGCCTAATTTGTATTTTCATAATTTGTTTTTTCTTAGAGAATTCAGATACACAAAGATATTCTAGCAGGCTGTATAAGTTTAGAGCAACGCTGTGTGCATTAGCCAACAACCAGAAGCAACCTGAATTCAGCAACCTGAATGTATAGAAACAAGAGATTCATGTCTTAATCAGGAATATCACAAGTTTGAACCAAGTCTGCATAATATAGTGAGTTTGGAGTTTAGGCTAGGATGCTATCATTGAGATTTTATTTCTAAAAGACAAAACACACCACCAACAAAAATGTTTTCTATCATATATAAATAAGAGTATTTTAGACAAGTAATTAGCGGTATAGAAATTGTCCATGATATTTTCCAATAAAATTATAGGTAGCAGAACAACTTGTATAAGTAACAGATATTTGTGTGATCAAAGTGTTGTGTGTTATACGAATCTATGTGTTAGCTACTTGAAGATTACAGTTAAAATACGAACACTAGCTAAATGTCTATGGAATTTCTGGAATGACAGGGGTTCTTTATTTTTATTTGTGTGTATGTTTAATCTTTTATTGTTTTTAAAAACATATTAGTTGCATTAGACAAAGTAGAAAAAAAAAAAAAAAAAAAGCAACACATTCTGGAAAGCTGACTTCAGCTCTTGGGAAGGAGCCCTGTCCATGCCAGCATGAGGTAAGCCCAAAGGATCCACAATGCAAGGAAATTGAGAAGACCAGGCAGAAGAGCTTGCACTCAGAAAAGCCCAAGGTTATTTTAAACTGCAGGAAAGCACAGGGTTTTATGCTGCAAGTAACTCCATCTGCATGGCAGGCTACAGGTGGAGAAGTCCTCTGTGTTGTGTCAGACAGGGGATTGAGGACCTAGGGGTCTCTCATGACAGAACCCCTGTTTATCCGGTCCATTTCTTTTTTCTTTTACTTTTTTGGGGGGGAAAGGGTCTTGCTATGCAGTTTAGGCTGACCTTGAGCTCACTTTGTACTGCAGGCTGGTCTTGGAACTTGCAACAATCCTCCCACCTCAGCCTCCCAAGTGAGTGCTAGGATTACAGGCATGAGCCACCACACCTGTCTTTTCATTCTTATATGGGTTTTAAGACTTTTCTTCTTCTGTCTTACTCTCTGATAGGTCTTAGCTTAGTTGCAGTGGTGACTTAAGTGTTATGGGGTATTGACTGGTTGGTGAGCTTGAGGCTGATTGTGGGCTTAGCCTTTGTCACTAGTTTGACCAGTTGCTGGGGTGGAACTAAATGTTATTGTGTCTGGGGCTTTCTGCAAATATGTGTAAGCTGATCCCAAACATAACTATTCTGCACCTACAGAAGTTTCACAAAAGGGCAGCTTTTCCAACAAGCAGGTGGCCCTATCTGTAACCATCTGTCCCGTCAGCCATGGCATGTTAGGCACTTCATGTCATATCCTTGCCTCTGTCACCCTCTAACTGTCCCTGAAAGCGCAGAACCCAATATTTTGGAGAGTGTTTAACCCATAGCCATTTGGGGAATGAATTGTTTAAGATTGATGTACATTTATACTTTAGGATTTCTGGGTCACTCTACCATGGTGATTAGATGAGAGATTACCGCAAGAGACAGTCACAGAGAAGACATGAGATGAACTTAGACTTCCAGAAAAGTTTGAGTTTGTCATGTATTTTATTTTATTTTATTTATTATTTTATTTTATTTTGGTACTGGGGATCGAACTGCTGTCCTTGTGCTTGCCAGGCAGGTACTTATACCACTGAGCTAAGTCCTCAGCTGTCATGTTTTTTTATAACATTGGGTTAGATTCCCATCACAAAATCAAGTAGCAGAGCTATTCAACTTATGACATAGAAAGATTTATTTGGTCTTACAGTTTTAGGGATTTCAGTACAAAATTGGTTGGCCTCATTGCTTTTCGGGCCAATGGAGATGCGTGATGCAGTAGAGCAAAACAATCCCTGCTTCTCCTCAGAGAGGGAGACAAGAAGAAGAAAAGGCCAAAGTATGGTAATCTTCAGTGGCATGCCTCCCATGACCCAAAATTTCTATGATTTTCAGGCAGGACATGGAGCCCTCGCTCTCCATGGTGAGAAGCAAGGCAGTGTCTTACTAATTCCCACTTCAGAAGGCTGGTGGAGATGGCACTGGCTTGGAGAACACAGAGAGACAAGGAGAATAAGAGCAGCTGGAGTAAAGACAGCCCCGGGGGCTGCGTGGACACAAGTCACCAGCTGCACGTGGTGGGAAAGATGGTGCAGGAGTCAGCACTCACACACCAAGGATGGAAACAAAATAGATCTGAGTAGTGATTCACTGTCCGTCTTTCACATCTTGTGCATTCAGCTACTTCAGACCCGGAAAAGAAACCACTGATTCAAGACAGGGATAATTAATTTTTTATTCATTTCTCTTTTATGTCATTGTGTTTTTTGGGAGATTTAGCAGTTTTTCTTTATCTGTTTTTCTTTTGTCTTGTTCCTTTTCTTTATTTCTTTTCACTTTTTATTTTAGTCTTTGTTCTCTTCTTATTTTATGTTTCATTTATATAATTTAATTTTCTTCTCTTCCTTAATAGAATCCTTTATCTCACTTTTTCTTCTTCTTCTCTTTATTTTTCTAATTTTACTTCTTCTGTTTCCTCTTTTTCCACCCCCGCCATGTTTGATGGTATTATTATTAAGCTTTTAAAATCTTCAGCTAGAGTATTTATTTGATTCTAGGCTGTTATTGCAGCTTTTCTACTGTCAGAGGTGGTGTGATTGCTGCACTTAGTATTTAATATCTGTCAAAATTTGCTTTCTCTTTACTTATAAATTATTACTACAGATCTCTTTTCTATTGTTAAATTGGTAGAGAGGCAAGGTTTGTTTCATAGTAAGTCAATATCAATGTAATCTTCAACTCCATTACTTTGCTAATTTTATTGCTGTTTTAGTTGTTGCTCTTAATTGATTTTTACTGTAATGCCATCACCTGGTTAGTCTTTCTGTCATCAACAATACTGGGTCAGCTTAAATACACAATGCACCTTTTTTTCCTCAAATTAACAGAAGTCATCATGTTTTGGGAGAGAAACAAAGGCCTACAGTTAGCTATGGCCAAAGTGCATCACTGGAAAGCAAACATCAATTTGAAAAAGGTCCATACTAGCAACAAATCTTTCTAATACAATTGACCCTCAACTCTCAGGATAATTTTTTTTTATTTAAAGGAGAGAAAAAACAAAACAAAACAAAATGGTATAAGCGTACAAGTAATATAGAATTTCAAAAAAACCAGTAAGAAATCTCTAGTTAATACATTACATATTGTCATCTTAGAAATAGTTGTTCAAGTTATAGGATTAAAGCATACAAAGTGGACATTCAAACAGTGGGACTGAAAACAGTTGTATTAAATAATCCAACAAAAACTTAGTAATATGGTCATCTATCTTAACAGACCTAAACACACTTGCAGTGTATCCTTTAGAGCACTTTTTTTCCGTCTCTTTTTTACAACAATATTTACACATTTTGGGTTTTATTACTCCCATAGTTCTTATTTTTTTTGGAAGAGAATAAACCAAATATGACAAAACAAAGCAGTCAGTCAAAACAAAGGATGGACACAGTACATGATATAAAAACAGAATACAAGGTAATCAACAATGGTTACCATAATGTATCTTGCTACCTTAAAAAGAATTGCCTATATCATTAGGTATAATGAAATTGAACAAAACAGTACAGAACAAGACCAATAAAACCTAAACATTGGAGACATTACAGAACTCCAAAAGAAAATAAAAGTCAAACCAGAATGGGCGTCATAGTGAATCTTATGTCTTCAAAGTAGTTGCCTATACCCTCAAATTTGATACTATCAAATAGAACAGAACAGAGTAAAATCAGTCAAAACAAGATGATGGGAGCAATACAGGGCTTCAAACCAAGTTAATAGGAAATCAAAAAAGTTACTATAATATATCCTGCTAATTTTTAATTTTTTTTCCCTTACTTAAAAAAATAATAAAATAAATAAATAAATTTTTTCTTTAGAAAAAGGGGGAGATGGAGATACAAGAGGACATAACAACATAACAATACAGGTCAAAGCATAACAATTTCAGCAACATAGTGCAAAATACGGAACGCTTCACGAATTTGCATGTCAGCCTTGCATAATTGCCATGCTAATCTTCTCTGTATTGTTCCAGTTTTAGTATATGTGCTGCCGAAGCAAGCACAGGATAAAAATTTTTAAAAAGCAAAAGCAAAACAAACAACTAAATGTGAGAAAATGAGGCAACAAAATATGAGAAAATGAGGAACAAAATGCCTCCGTAAACTCCCAGCTTCCCCCAAGCTGACCCATGATACATCAATGGGGAGGAAATCAAAAAGCAAACAGTGGAATTACATGAAGTAGTAAAAGAGGACAGAGAGAGAGAGAGAGAGAGAGAGAGAGAGAGAGAGAGAGAGAGAGAGAGACCAGATCAATAAAAGGCTCAGTGAGTTCACAGTTGATATAACAAAATTGATACAAATGATGGATTTAAAAAACAAAATGATGAATGAGATCAGAGAAGACACTAATAAAAAGCTAGATAAATTTTTAAATGATGCAAAACCTGAATGATCGGCAGATAAATAAATAGAATTCATGAAAACAAACAAACTCAGGAGACAAAGCATTTCTATGGAAAGTACTGGCAGTGGAAACAACCAGCATGATGACACAGCAGCAGAACTAGGAGACAGAGCTGATGTGTGTGACCACATAAGTGGAGATACCCTAAAAACTGTAATAGGACATGGAAAATGGATCCAACAGGTGACAGAGGATGCAAAAAATCACTAAATTAATGTTAATGTTAATCAGCAAAAAATCAGAAGAGCAAGAATGCCATAAATTTGTTTACAAATACAACCAATTTTTCAAGTTTGTATAAATAATGAAGGTACAAAAAAGTGAGGCACATAGAACTCCAAATGTGTAAGTAGCAGGCTTCTCTGGTACCACTGCCAGTGTGGCAACTCTAAAAGTAACCTACTTCAACTTTGTGCTATGTGCTACAAGTAGTAGAGGTTGCCATACAATCAAATTTTTATTGATCTAAAAACTTTACAGGAGAAGGAAATTGCTTCACCTTGAATCCACCAAGCATGTGTTACATGATATGAATTCCTAAAGCAATTATCCATGCAGACATTATTAATCTTACTATATATTTAGAGTTCCTGAAAACATTTCAATGTTAATTTTTTTTTAAAATCAGGACTATAGACTTGATATAATAATAATGAATAATGTTTCAATTCTACATTCAGCTGGGTTATGTTTGACTTTATGGCAATATGCCAACATGGTCATAAAATCAAAACTTTTACTTGTTTTAAGAGAGATGCTAGTGGCCCAAAAAGGGATAATGCTTTGGATCCTTGGAAGCCACATTATAATCCTGAGTGAATGCTAGACTGAGTAAAATACTGAGTTTCTTGGTATTTGAGCTTCAAAAGTATCTGAGAGCTAAAGGATGCCGTTGCTTCCAGAACTCTCCTGATTGCTCCATGGCAGAATTGGAATTTAACTCTCATATTGTTTCCACTGGAACTCAAGAATAGCTTTAGAATCCTCCTGGACTAGCTGGGGATAGCAACAAACAACTTCTACACTGTAAAGTAAGGGTTTTTGTTTGGTTGTTGCAAGTTCTTAGTGATAGTAATTATATTTATGTTGGTTAAATGATTTTTAAATATCAAAGAATGTGGTTGCCTTAAGGCCAAAATTTCTTTGGATTTTTTTTCTTATTTTTTATTTATTTATTTATTTATTTATTTATTGTCTTTTTGAGACAAAGTCTGACTGTGCAGTTCAGGCTGGCCTTGAGCTCACTTTGTAGCCTAGGCTGGTCTTAAACTCACAACAATCCTCCTGCCTCAGCCTCCCATTGCTGGGATTACAGGCATGAGCCACCACGCCTGGCCTTGGGTTTTTGTTGTTGTTGTTCATTCTTGCTTATGTTGTCTTGGTGTTGGCTGCTTTGAAGTTTTGAAAAATCAGAAGAGAAAAAGCTCTATTCTGAGCTGAGCAAAAGCAGTGTAACAGTCAGAAAAAATGCATTGTAACCTAGTTAAATATATGTGCAAAAATTAGGTTCAATGACTAATGATGAAATATTAGAAGATTGTTTATTATAAGATGGTTTCAAAGTGAGTATTTTGGAAGTGAATGATGTCTAAAGGAAAAGAATAATATTAATTATCCCGTAATGGTGCACATTTTTGTTCAAACATAGCTGTTGTATGTATTTCCTGTGTTTACATGCCAGGCCTTGATGTAAAATGTATTTCACACCGTGGACTATGGTCAAGCAATTTTCTAAAATCACTGTGAAATGCATTTTTTTGGAAGAAGACTCCATTCAATTCTAAGTCTTTGTCCTGCCCAAGAGAAAAAAAGGCAGGCCAGGGGAGCAGGGGAGGAGACAGAGAGGAGCAATAAATGACAAATGTTATGACTTTTTCTAAGCAAAACATCTGTCTACAAAAAAAATTAACCCAATGTCTTTCTTTCTTTTATTTTTTTTAAAAATAAAACCAAAGCAAACACAGAAATGGTACAGACCTTGGTGGCCCAAGTGTCCCCTACTGCTTTCTGTTAAGTCTGAAAGAAGAGGAATAAAAGCTCCACGAGAGACTTCAATTTCATTATGTTCCCTGCCGTCTAAAAAGCAATGGTAAGTGGCGTCAAGGTCTTTAAAGAAATCTGAACAATCGCAATGGCTTCCAGAATGTTTACTTTGAAGAAAGGAACATATATTTTTCTCCACATGAAAACAACAACAAAAAAAGCTATCTTTCCTAAATCTGACCACACAAATCTAAGATGAGGCCGGGAAGGAGGGGAAGAGGTTGGGAAGCTTCCAGTAGCTGTCTGATTCCCCTCTGGGAGCACAAGTGGCATGGTGTGGTGAAGAGGAGCCCTCACCTTCACTGAAAACACCTGCTTTGTTTCACACTCGCTCCCACACTGCACAGAAAAAGCTAAAACTCTGTGCATGTGTGTTTTTGATTCATCTATTTAAAATACATCAATGATAATCTCTTTGGAATTCCTGTTCAGACTTTATAGTTTTTGTTTATAAGATAATATAATTTCCATAGCCAGACCACAACCTCCCAGAATTAAGAGGTTCTATCTGTCCTGCTTGCTTCAGTGGATGTTGCTACAGGGCAGAGGACAGGGGTGCTCCAGAAGATGGTATAGAATGAATGAAAATACTATTTAAAATATTACCTCAATAATTATATTTAGATCTAATTCCTCAGCTAATTTTTAGATCTAATTATTTTTAGATCTAATTCCACAGTTGATTCCAGTTAAGCACTTTTAAAGTCTCTTTTCATAAAAATGGGGAATAGTAACAGGCAACCTCTAGACTTTCCATAATGTAAACTATTAACATTCTCACCGCATATGACACGTGAGCATTTCCATTTCCTGTGTGATCATGAAAAAGTGTAACCCAAATGCATCTGAACCTTGATGTCCATAAAATTCTTTCTTTTTTATTTTAAAAAGCAAAATAGAAAAAAAAGGATACAAATGATACAGAATTTCAAAAAGAAAATAGTAGGAAATTATCACTATTTAAAATATTGCATATTATTACTTTTTAAGTAGTTGTTCAGGTGACAAGATCCAGACATAAAAAATTATCAAACAATGAAACAATGACAGCACAAACTGCTCTTTTTGATGCACTATCAGAGGCCAATAGTACAGTTACCTATCTCGTACACATATACATACATACATTTATATATGTCTACCTACCCACAAATAATCTTTTCCTTTCAAGTGTGGCCCCTGGAGAGGTTTTATCAGTAACATCCGAAACATTTGTTACAAATGCAGCCATGTAATTACCTGCATTTGTAATTGGTAATTCAGAAAATTTTTAAAGTAAAAACTAATGAGCATGCTGCAGCACAAATCTAGGACAATCCTAGAGAGCATTGGACCTAAGGAAGGAGTGGCAAGTGGAAAAACCTGAGGATTAGGAGGTGGTGTGTAAAACAAACCCATCTGGTCCTTTGGAGTGAACTTCATTTATTACTACACGATGATGGGATGAAGGGTGGGACCTTGGTGGGGTTGGGGTATGTTTTCATCGTGTTTAGCTAGATTAGTTCCTTGTTATTTTGTATGGTGCAAGGGATAATTTCTTTAGTGTTTGAAGATCACAAGCTTTTGAATTCCACTTGTTATTATATGTAGCCTGATGATCTTTATTACATAGTGAAGATTCTAATACCTTCCTTCAAAGGATCTAGTGAGAACTTCTATTAGTTAATAAAAATATCTGACAAATACGTGGAACTTTTCTTTGTCTGTTCACATATTATACCGCTATCATCTAGAATGTGGCCAGAAATTCTCACATGTGTAGAGAGTGAATGAATCCTGGGGTACTATGTAGCCTACTTGCTTTAGAAGGTGAAAAGCTTTTGGAGATGGGTCTGAGGAGCCAGACCTGGGAGCCTGTGTCTCCTTCCCAACTCCCCCTTACCTCTCTCCTTTCTGATTGCCATAGTGTGAGCTGCTTTCCTCTGTCAGACCTTGCCACCGTGCTATTCTTGCCTTGAAGCTCGCTATCTATAGGCTGAATCTTCTAAAAATTGTGAGCCAAAATAAACTTTTTCAATAAATTACAGGTGTCAGATATTATTTGCACTGACATGAAAGTAGCTAAGACAACTACTACCTTAATTCAATTATTCATCAAACATATTATCAAAAACAAAATTTAAAATAATATGTTACAGCTAATAAAGTTTTATAGCATTGTTAAATAGTCTACTTTTCACAATGCACTGAGAGACATATAGCATAATTATTTTTACTTTAAAGGAGAAAAGAGTTGAAACATCAATAGGTGACTTATGTTACCTGAACTGAAATCTCAGCCCTCACAATGTGCTAACTTTGGGCAGTATATGAAGATCCATGAAACAAATGTATTATTTTGAAGATTCTTTAATGTCACAACCAGCATATATACACATATAACTAAAAAGACACAGGAAGGAATACATCTCAAAGCACACAAACAGAATGCTAAAAGTTCAGTGGAAGACAAGATCATTTTCAAATATAGAATAAGGGAAGATTTCAAGAAGGGACATCTCTAAAATCTATCCTGAAAGATAGTTTGTCTAGTAGGTGGACATGTAAGAAGGC